CAGTGATTGAGTTTGAGATTTGCACCCTGTCAAGGATGAGCTTTCAAATGTAACTCCCTGTCCTGAGTTCCTGAAAGTGAAACAGAGACACACAGTACTGCAGCAGGTTTGTCAGGTCAGGAGAGATTTTCACGTTGGCACTGGTGGGTTTTTTCCAAATACTGAGCAGAATGGTTCATTCTCCCCAGTCAGAGGGCATCTGTGTCGTTTCAGAAGCATTGGATGTGCTTTATTGTCTTTTGGTGAATGTGCCCCCTGGGTTTACCTTTTTTGTCCTGAAAGGATATTGCTGCAGGAAATATAATGGATAAATGGCATCTGTAAGGAGTTGGCCTAGATGACCTTTGAAGGTCCCTTCCAACCCAATTCTATGTTTCTATGATTTAATGTAAAGGAGTTACTTACACAAACTCGCCATCCAGCAAGCGGCGATAGGTTTCAATCTCCATTTCCAGGCGACTCTTGATGTCCAGGAGCTGTTGATACTCTGCGTTCTGGCGCTCCATATCAGCCCGGACCTGGAACAGCTGAGACTCCAGGTTCCCAATCTGAAGCTGCATTTGTGAAAGCTGGGCACAGTAACCTCCTTCTGTTTCTGCTAAAGTGTCTTCAAGGGATTTTTTCTGTGTAGGAGGATATTAAATAATCTTTGAGGAAAACAAATTATTTACAAAGACAAAAGCAATGGCAGTAGTTTAATGGGAGCAGCACAGCCCCATTACTTAGAGATTTTGGAGTCTTTTTTTTCCTTGAAATATCAATTTGAAAACTTGCCTTTGCTGCTTCACTGAATATGAACATAAAAGTTCATCTGCTTTATAGCATGCTACTTGAAATCCAATTACAGATACTGCTGCTATTCAGGAACTAAAAGGATGCAGGCTTTAATAGGAAATAAATACAAATCTTAAATCCTATAGAAGAGTGTAAGATCTGACACCTTTGAAGATGGAACGTGTACTCTCTCTAGCTAGCAGCTTCCTTAGAACATACCATGGCAAGCTGAGATTGTAATTCAATTTCCAAGCTCTGGAGAGTCCGTTTTAGATCTGTGATCTCACTCTTTCCTGACTGAAGCTGCTCAGTGTTGGTGGAGATTTCCCTTTTCAGCTCCCCGCTCTGAAACGACAAGGAAGAACAGTGTAATTTTAGTGTTTCAAATCTGTAGCTCATTTGGACATACATTTCACTGGGTTTGCTATCTCTGGTGGTTACTTTTTCATTGAACCATGCTTCAGCCTCTTTACGATTTTGCTCTGCGATGACTTCATACTGTCCCCGCATGTCATTCAAAAGCTTGGTCAGGTCAGTTCCTGGAGCAGCATCCATTTCAACGCTGACTTGGCCAAATGCACTGCTTTGGATGCCCTGGAGCTCCTGGAGAGATTAAAAATAACAAAAAGTTTATGTTACTAAGATAATAGTTCTACCAAAAATATATGTAAAGAGATATATGTGATACAATTCTGTTTCAATGAGATTCTGAAGGTTGTGTGCGTATTTGACTTAGTACTAACAGCAAAGGAGCAGCAAACAAAAGAAATAACGAAACCAGGGTATTCCCACGGGCATAAATAAGGGAATAATTTGCTATTTCACAATTCCATCTGGCTTGTTACAATCACAAAGAAAAAGAAAGTACCTCTTCATGGTTCTTCTTGAGATAAGCCAGTTCTTCATTCAGGCTTTCAATCTGCATCTCCAGATCGGCTCTTGTCAAGGTCAGCTCGTCAAGAACTCTGCGCAGACCATTGATGTCGGCTTCCACGCTCTGGCGAAAAGCCACCTCATTTTCGTACCTGGAAGCACAGCGATTAAATATGACTTTTTATGTGGTTAATGAGGTCAAATGCAAAGTATTGCTATTTACTTCTATAGCTTTTAATATGAAATTTTAATACATGTAATTATTACAATATTGTTTAAGAGTTATGTGAAAGTATTCTACGAGGAAAAAAGATTTCTAAATACAAAATAATGATTTCCTTAAAATATTAGTAAGTTTTTGTAATATTAAGACACGCTTACTTGAGTCTGAAATCATCAGCAGCCAGTCTGGCATTATCGACCTGCAGAATGATTCTTGCATTGTCAATAGTTGCATTAATGATCTGGAATACAAAGAATGTTCAGGGAATGCTTCTCTAGCCCAATGGCTTTGCAGCTCAGGGTAGCTTTTTACACAACTGCCATCCTAAACACACGTTTAGACTTTGGGATATACAAGAGTTTGTAGACCTGGATTCCATCACTGCCTTCTCCTTCTGCACAATACCCCTGCATTATGATAGAGATGATTACAAATTTGGTACTGTAGAATAAATTTCCTCTTGGTTTCTGAAAGGAATTTATTATGTCTATCCAAACTATTATTAGTTGAATTACAAATGTAAGGATACGTTAAGTACGTGGCTTCGCTACCTTGTTTCGGAGCTCTTCAATGATAGGATAATATTTACTGTAATCATTCCCAGATCCAGGGGTACCAGTGCCAGGGCCACTCTTCTCATACCACTCGCGGATTTTGCGCTCCAACTCAGTATTGGCGTCCTCCAGAGATCGTACTTTGTCCAGATAAGCAGCCAGGCGGTCATTGAGGTTCTGCATCGTTTCTTTCTTTGAGCCAGAAAGAAGGCCACCATCCCCAGCACCAGCACCACCAAACCCCCCTCCAAAACCAGTTCCTGAGCCACTACCAAAGCCACTTCCTAACGCCCCACCAAAAGCACTGCCTAAGCCACTGGCATAGCTACCACCTAAACCACTACCAAGGCCTCCACCAAAGCCGCTGCTTAAGCTGCTCCCAAAGCCTCCACCTGAGCTACTCGCAAACCCCCCACTGAAGCCAGAGCCTGAGCCAAGCATAGAAGCAGCACCAAAACCTCCACCAGCTCCACCACCAAACCCAATCCCGCTGCCACCAAAGCCTGCTCCACCACTAGAACCAGACATTCGCAGAGATCCCCCACCAAGTCCACTCCGAGAAGAGAACTGCCGGGATGCACCGCTTGTGCGCACAGAAAGGGCCATGGTGCTTGAGGTGCTCTGCTCTGCTGGGTGAAGCACACGGTGTGGAGCAGGGCGCATTGGAGAGCACTTGGACCTTTATACAGGAAGGCAGTGGGTGTTTCAGGAGTAGTCCCCGCCTTTTAGGAAGAGCTTGAATTCTTTCTCTCTCCCACTCCTCACTTGGAGGGGAAGTCAGTTTAATGTGTCCTGACCAAACTAAATGATACGTGACATTCTAAATTGCCAATGGGAGTGGAAGTCTGATGCCCTCCAGGTGTTTGCTGTGTGAGGGGAAATGGGTGGAGGAGAGCAAAGATACCATGATCATGTTTTGCCATGTGCAATGGAGGGTAAAATTTTCGCATTTAAAGCCTTCCTAAGTAATGTCTTTGGTGTTACATATTCATTACTTTCTTGGTTTGGGGCTATTATTCCAGGAGTAAGCTTAAGCCAGTGGTGTGATCCCTTTCATATCATCCTTGCCAGTGTGCATGTCAGAAATGCTTTTCTAGTCATAATACGTTTCTGGCATGAATCTCTGCCACATTGGTGCTCCCTGAATGTTTGATAAGAAGGGAGAAAAGTGATGAGCAGAAGTGTGTGATAAGGCATGTGGTCTGCAGGTTGATCATTAATATGAAAACAAAAATAGACCTGATTGTACCCAAGTTAATTTGCGTTTTCTGCACTAAACCTTTCATCGTGGAGATGTCTCTGTGTAATATGCAGAGCCTGTACTAACGGTTCACACTTCTGAGCTGGGAACTTCCCATTGTTCCTTCTGAATAGTTTGTCGTGATCCCAAACTCAGGCAAATTGTTTCTGTATTTTGTGCTTTTTATAATATAAATCTAAAGCTCAAATACAGCTCTTCTGGGTGAGGGTTTAGGCATGGAAACCCTTCAGAACCAATATACCTTTTGTTTGAAGTTATTTTGGTAAACGGAGAATTGCTTTTTCATTGTCCTGGCTTAATTATATCAATGCATTTGTTAACTGAACTGTTTTCATTTCAGTTCATCCCCATCCAGAGCATGGGTGCTTTTTTGGGCAGAAATGCATTATGAGCAGTAGATCAAAGGTTTAAGTAAAGCATTTATGTAGAAGTAAATTGATAGCCCGGTATCAGTGACTCATGAGAGTGAAAGCAAAGCATTATTTCCTTTGGCAGGTGTTTCTGTACGGTAAATAACACACTGGGCAGGTGAGATTTCAAAGGAAAGGGTTTTGTGTTTATGTTGTCAAGAGGAAAGTGTGGAGTCCTTGGAGTGAGGAGCTGGGTGAGGCATCAGGAGCCTGCCCACAGGGGATAGGGGACATGCAGGTGTGGAGGGAAGGTTGAACCGAGTTGGTGAACCGAGGTCCTTTCACTGCTGAACTGGAAGACAAAAACAGTCTTATTGGTAAAATACCGGTGCTTGCTTTACCCCCTGGGGATATGAACATTCACAGAGACTGAAAAACAATAAATAGGTTTTCCAATATCTTTATTTCATTTTAATGTATTAAGAAATGCAAATTGACACTTTGTGGTTATTTAAAAATCAGTTTTTACTGAAGTGAAGCTGCATTACATTTGAATGGTAGTTCAAGTACAGAAAAAGGGCACTGAATCAACGTTTGAATGCATTTTTTAAAAACAAATCTATATGTGCTGGTACATAAGAAAAAAACAGATTGCTAAACTTTGGGTCACAATTAAACTAGCATCTTAGTGTATCATCTCTATCTGGTAAATTCCTTTTGTTTTGAGGGGGTGTCCATCAAGGTTTCAGAAATAGCAGCTCTCTTCTAAAAACTTCTCATTTATCCATATGTTGAAAGTGTGAGAAAACTCAAGGCACCGGTTGATGAAGTGAGCTGTGTGAAAACACCAGGGAAAAGTTCTCCTCGTACTTAGAGCCGAGCCTGTGACAGTCTCCAGTTTGCTTAGCACAGCAGTAGATTCTGTCCCATGTTTTCATCTCATGACCCTTACCATCTTTGGTGCTTTGGAACTCCACCAGTGAGCGTTGTGTTGGTATTTTTGTGAAGTCTATTTAGATGATTTGAAAAGCTCTGGTAAACCCCTGCTAGAAGGCATTTGACTTTCTAGTTTTTACTGAGCAGATTTTTAAATGTAACTAAAAACCTAATACCTCAGTTTTTCTCTTTCTTAGAAGCAGGTACACATTGAGAGCATGCTGATTTGTTTTTATCAATGTATTTAGTCACTATGTAAGTAAACCCAAAATCTTGTACTTTGTAACTTACTGATTTTTATTAACACTCCCACACACACACAAAAAAAAAGAAATTGAGATGTGATAGTTTGGCTTTTCAACCCTTCCGTTTTTTAGGGAGAATTGCATTGGATTCTTTATAAAGGTCTGTCTTTTAGTTTTGATATCAGCTCCGTGACGTTCCAAGGCCATCTCCTTTCTGCTGGTGCCATTTACATTTTCTCTTCAAACTCCTTGACCTGAGAGGAGACCACCTTGCCATCAACCACCTCTTCAACGATTGTCTTGATCTTCTTAATTTTACTTGATTCTGGTAATGAATTTGAACAGAGAATTAATGCAGTGCAGTCTCCATTGACAGAATAACATCGCTGTAATAATCCCAGCAATGAGAAAATAGATAAAGGCACCTTTTCAGTGCGCAGGTACAGTGAAGTCACCTTTTGAGGTACCTACAACATGAATGCTCTTCCTCTGAGCATCCTCTGTGTAACCCAAAATAATGTGGCGGACACTGTGTTGAATATCTCTCTATCCCTCCTGATAGTTTTGCTTGTTTAGCACAGAGCTGTAGGCCTAAAACCTAGGAATTGCCTTACCCTGGAATGGGTATGTTTGCTGTTAACCTGGATTTCTGTAATCCCTGTAGTTTATCAGTTCGTGGTTGATTCCAGTGGTTCCACTGGTTGATTGTTTGCTCTGAAACTGTCTTGTTTTATTTATATCAGGCTACTTAGTTCCATAACATTTCAACAGGCAGCCATTAAAAGATAAGGAAGTTGGTGTAACATACCTTTCTCAGCCTCTGCTGTAGATACATCCACTTGGAAATGTCTGTTCAAATAATAAATTAAAAAATATAAATAGATGGCACCTAGCATACTGCAGAAACCTCCTTGTACACATCCTGTGTGTTTGATCAGGACAGGTAATATCCTTTCATCAAGACATTTAACCAGGTGTTTAAATGAGCTTTCTCTGTTAAACTTGCTAAGTTTAAGTATAAACTATAGGTGAACTTAATGTGCAGGCTTGTTTCTGCAGTGCTGTGACTTCAGCTCATGCAGATATGGCCAGAACAGCTGAACAGGCAGAATCCTGGCAGGGTTCACACTTCCACTGGCCGGGACTGCAGACAGTGTTTGCAGTGTTCTTTGCTGTCCCATGAACCTAAAGCGATAAGCAAAGTGCGAGTGTTTCCTCACCCGATGTCCTCTCCTTCCAGCAGCCGGCGGTACGTGGCGATCTCCATTTCCAGGCGAGTCTTGATGTCCAGCAGTACGCTGTACTCGTTATTCTGCCCCTCCATGTCAGCTCGGAGCTGCCTCAGTTGGGCCTCTAAATTGGCAACTGTTTCTTGTATTTGGGCTAGCTGATAACTGTAACGTGCTTCAGTTTCAGCCAGAGTGTCTTCTAAAGCCTTTTTCTACAGCCCAGGGAGAGAACAGAGATGTATTATTCAAGAGGATACATTTTTGTGTTAACATAACATTTGGATTGAAAAGCCTCTTGGCTTCTATATTTACCCATGTAGCAGTCTACTAAACACAGTACTTATTTCAAGTAAACTCTGTCATTTACCATGTTAAGCTGGGACTGTAGTTCCAGCTCCAGCCCCTGGAAGATCTGTCTCCGGTCAGTGACCTCTCTCCTCTGGGCTTGCAGCTGTTCAAAGTTGATCGCTACTTCCTGGTTCAGTTCTTCTGTCTGAAATGCAAAACCAGAGGGACTGCAAACCACACCTAGACATGGCTGGGGCTCTTGCTGATGTGTAGGTAATCGACCTTACCTGCTTTTCAAACCGTTCTTTGGCTTCTTGACGGTTCTTTTCTGCCATTTCTTCATATTGCTTTCTCATGTTTTCCATCATAGTTGCGAGATCTATGCCTGGAGCAGCATCCACCTCTACGTTAACTGAGCCCCCCGCTTGTTTGCGCAGTCTGTCAACATCCTGCAGCAAGGAGGGTTGTATTAGCATAAGCCACAGGGAACTTTCTATCCGAATTTTGGAAGCTGATTATAATAGAGCCATAGGTCCATTCACAGAGATACTATTTGAATAGGTACGTACATTTTGATGTGCTAATCTGAAGCTGAATTCCACCATAAATGTAATATTCCTTCAGATTAACTGGGAAGATTTTCCTGTTCCTAGTGAGTCTGACCTTATTCATGCGCTTAAAACACATGTCTCCCGGACACTGTTCAGCTGTCCTCACCTCCTCATGGTTCTTCTTAAGGAAAATCAGTTCTTCATTCATCCTTTCAATCTGGGACTCCAAGTCAGATATTGTCAAAGTCAAGTCATCACGGACACGTAGCAGGCCGTTAATGTCACTCTCGACGCTTTGCCTGAGCAAGAGTTCATTCTCATACCTGTAAAATAAGGCTTGTTTTGTCAACATGAAAATGCAGCTGTTGGTGTAAATGAATCAGTAGCTACTGCACCCTTCCCTGTAAGTTTTCTCTTTTTCATGAATAAGAGAAGCATGAAAGAATTTATGAAATGATCATGGAACTTACTTCAGTCTAAAATCATCAGCAGCCAGTTTGGCATTGTCAATCTCCAGAACAAGCCTTGCATTTTCCAGTTGTGCGGCAGCAATCTGAAAAGGGGTGGATGAAAAGTGATGAATCTTTGCACATAAATGCACACTTGATCCATTTCTGGAAATAAATACTGCATTTGGTCTTCGTCTCGCTTAACTTTAGCTGTCTGTTAGTCCTCTAGGTTTAAGCTGAGTTCCCTCTGAAGTACATAGAAGGAATTAGGGTTCTCTAAAAGACAAATTATCCTGTCATAAATAGGTATATAAAACGGTTGGGATGAACTGGTTTTTGGAAGGGATCTACCTTCAAAGGATAGGAAAAGGAACTGGTGAAAGGTGCAAGGGGAAGATTTAAGGAAGTTCTTTGGAAACACAGTCTGACAAAGTCTGATTCATTGGAATCACAGTCTGACTTCTGTGGGGGTATTTTATTGTTTATAGTAGGAATTCACTATTTCAAGTAGTGAGCTCTCCTTTTTTGTGAGCCTTTGGCATTCTTTTCTAAAAAATGCCACTTCGGAATTGACAGGTGCTAAACTAGATTTAAATATGTAAATCCCACAAGGCAAATACAATTAGTTCATTTCCATTCAAAGAATTTCCCTGTATGAGATTGCTCACATCTGCAGGCATGTATCTGATATTATGGATTATGTAAAATCTGACACTAATTTGTATCTGAGCAAAGTAAAGCATTTGTTTTTCATAGTTGAGAGAGCTGCAGTTTGGGAACGTACATTCTCTACAGTAGATTATTATTTATCTCTCTAATAATTGCAATTCATTGATTTAAGGATGGCTGTGTGATATCTTACCTTATTCTGGAGCTCTTCAATGGTTTTGAAGTATGAGCTGTAGTCATGCCTTATGTCTGTGGTGTTCTTCTCATACCACTCCTTGATCTGCTTTTCAATCTGGGAGTTCGCCCTTTCTAGCGAGCGCACCTTTTCCAGGTACGAAGCCAAACGGTCATTTAGGTTTTGCATTGTTGATTTCTCATTGCCGGTGAGCAGCACATCATTGTCACTAATATTCAGCTGGAAGTTTCCCCCGAAGCCTTGCCCGTAGCTGGTGCTGCTGGCTATGCGGGTGCCGTAGCCGCCAGCCCCCCCATAGACACTGGGTGCCTGAATCCTTTGGATGGTTGTTTGCCGGGAGGTCAGCCCACTGATGCTGGGTGCTGGGGGCTGATAGCGGCTGCTTGTACCCCACTGGGAGCTTCTGGTAGAGAACGCCATTGGGGTTCTTTGTCTTCTGAACTGGAACAGCTCAGTCGGCACAGAGAGCAGCTGCAGTGAAGAGCAGTGTGTGCTCTGTAAACCTTTATACTGTGTTGCAAAGAGGAAGCACAATAGTTACAAACCCCACCTCTGTTGACACACAATGCAACCGGTGTCAGCACAGCCTATTGCCCCCACACTCCATATGAAGTACCGGGGTTTTCAGCTGTTCTCTGTGTTTGAGAAGAGCTCCCCAGGTAGTTTGGCTTGCTTTGTTATCATTTGGAATAACAGATAAAGCACAAATAAACTGTTGAATCATTTATAACAGTGTACCTGCAGCCATACCCTCTATAGTTCTTTTGAACAAACAAGCTGATTCTTACACCCATCTGCAGTATATGAAATCAAAATGAGAGTTGACTATATGTGACAAGAGACTTAAAATATTTATATGCACAATTAAGAATATATTTCTGTTGAGTAAGAAACAGTTTGGGCCTCAGGATAGCCTAGGACAGTGTATAAATTACTAGAATGGAGGCATCTGTACCCACCACTTTAATTCATTTTCTAGCAGGCACAAGCCACTATTCAAACTGTAATTGGAAGGTGAATGCTGTAGTTGGCTTGCATTGAATATGCATTCATTTAGTATAAGGAAACTGTTACCAGATGAACTCTGTCTTTCAATACAGTTGAAATTAAGCAGAGAGATTATTGCTTTGTCTATAGATAAAGTAATAAGAACAGGAGTAGTTAAAATCTTCACTGCCCACTTTAGTTCACGTATGAGCCACTGAGGGCCACAGAGCAATAGGAGGTGTTGAGATCAAGCTTTCAGCATAATGACTACCAGCCCTCCTGGAAGCCCAAGTTAGAGCAGAACAAGTTTCCATTGCACTGCCAGTACTTCAGTGTATCATTAATATCAGGTAGAACAATGAACACATATTGCTTGTACTGGTGAGCACAGCTGCTATTCAACCTCGGGGCAAGGAAATTGGTGAGATACTAAGCTTTGGAGGCATTAAACTGTATACTGGAAGCATCCTCAGGTTTCTGAGAACGCCTAACCTGGGATATTAAGGCAAAGAGTGAAGCTGTTGTACTTGGTTCTTCTGAGAACAGGCATCTGCCAGGCCAAAGTGATTAGGATTCAGGGCAGGACTTTACTGCAGCAGGATGCTGTGGATTGTCTGTGGACCTTGAACTTCTTTGGGTGTAACTGGTAATGAAAAACATTTATGACAGTTGAAACCAAAGTACACTAGTCATATCATTTGGCCTGTCACTATAGAAACTCAATCTTTGGTTCATTAAAAATACTCAGACTGAGTAAGAATTGGTCGTGTTAGTAGGGCAGAGTTTATACCTCTAGAGCTTCAAGAGGAATACAGCAAGAGATCTTGCTACAGTTCCGTCTCTTGGCTCTGCATTTCACTGCCTACATCTCTGGCAGTGTTTCATGATAAAGTAAACATTCTTCTTTGTCTTTTTAATACTTAGTAAAATTACATTCCATGTTACCTGGATGGTATTTTTCCTAAAAATACCACTTGAAAGTTCCATTTTTTTAAATTATTTTTTTTATTTTTTGTGAGCAAATAGCAAAGGTTATCAATGTTCATGTTTGCCTAGAAATGCAAACAGGTCGAGATTGGCTTTTGTGTGTGGGTCAAATTCCTAATCTGTGTATTCACAGCTATCTCAGCTCCGTATAGAGAAGCAACTGTGAAGTTTGAATAGCAAAAGCCATCTGTGTGTGTTGGTACCTTAGTGCAGATGCTTGAAATATACAGAAGCTGGATACTATTTAGAAATGTAAGACTAGCGTAAAAATACAGTTTAGATTGACAGAGAAGTAAAATTCACTGGTACTTAAACATTCCTTAAACTTTGTTCTGACTTCACCAGTACAGTGATCTGAATTGAAATGGAATCAGGATTAGGGCAGGCGTTTGCCTTGTGTTCTGGATCTGGTACTTTAGGTCAAGCTGAAACTTCAACAGTTATTTTCCTTCCATAATTCTCTTGACTGTTAAGCAAAAGTGCTCCAGGTGAATGCAACTGGAAACACGGATCTCGTGTTGTGCAGACACCCAGGTTATTGTGCTTAATTTTCTTAGCGTTCTCCAAATTGTTAAGTGACAGTTTCTCTGGACTTAACATTTTGTGGATGCATCTGTTCTAAAAAATGAGCCAGAATATTTGTAAGAATATTATGAAGACCAGGATAGGCATCATTCACGCTAGAGGTGGGCTTTGCTCCTGGTTTGTTTTCTTATTTCAATAGTTTTTTTCATGGAATATTGTGACGGGTTGTATAAATCACTGGTGACTGTAGGAGTGCACACCAGGGGCTGTACCTATGCCAGTAGCTGGGAGCAAGGTAAGGCCCAGGTGGGCTGAGGGCAAGCGGCTCCTCACAGCTCCATCCTTGGGAGCAGCCACCAGCTCCATTGGAGGGTGGACTATGCCCAGGTATTATCTGCAAGAACATGGGCTGCCTTCCTGTTACTGTTTTTAAATGATATTGGTTGTAACAGTAAGTCATTCAAATCGATGTTGAGCAATCTAAAAACATCTGGTGTCTGCAGTTTTGGTCAGTGCTGAAGAAGTGCCGTTAACCCTTTGCTGGTGCTTTAGTTCAGCAGCACAGTTTCCTACTCACAACTGGGTTGTGCATGCTCTGCAGAGGACAATCCCTGACCATGTGTAACATTTCCTGTCAGTGACGTGCTTGGTGAATGGTTTGTGTGTACTGATAAAACATTCATGGCAACAGTAATCAATTGAAATATCACCTGTGAGACATGAGTTTACTGTGTCTTGGAGAGCAGCAAAAATAAGTCTTGAAGGGTTATGATAATATGTGCATGCCGTTTAGTATTACTCACCTTCACTAACCAGTCATGGGTAACCAGACTTGAGAGCTCAAGGAAAAAAGACACACCCGGCTTTGGTTCTGCATTTGGGCTGCCTTTAGGTGAAACATCGCTTGTCTTTTGGCTGACTGAAGGATTTAAATAAAGAAAAGCCTGAGTTCAGTTTTTAGTGATGACCCAGCCCAGAAGGGAAACCTGGTGACCACTTATATGTCACTATAACTGTGTTCTTGATCGCAGTTTAGATTTTGTGTCATAAGAATTTGAATCTGAAAGATCTCTGACAATACAGTCCTGAAGGGCTTCCACTGTACAGTGTCCAGTCCAGGAAGAGGAATTCCTTGTTCAATATTCCAGCCATATTTCAGTATTTAATACTTCTGTGTCTGAGAAATTCCCCTCCTCTTCTTAACTTACTTGTGAGAAGTTACTTCCTGATCTGTGCCAGACAAGTGGCTTACAGTCAAGGGAGCAGTTGTAAGATGAGCTTTCAGGGGAAAATCTGAGTGAATTTTTCATGTAGATATTATTTAAAATTATTATTTTTCGAAATGAATGAAAAAATAAGTACTTAGGACAATCCTCCATCCCGAAAACAAACTTAAAATCAAATAGCATGATACTTGGAAGATGTGTTCCAGATCTTGGAGCGATGCATAAGGCAGGGGTTGGTTACGTCCTTCCCCAGCCACAGGCTGAAAATAAAGTGAGGAGCTGCCTTTCCCGTCCCGGCTGCTCTCCTGCAGTAGGATCACATTTCAGTGCCAACAACAACAGCTCCAGGCCATACAAATGAACCTTCTCTTTTTCTCCCCTAAAAGGATCATTAGTATCAGCTCTAATACAATCTAACAGACTGCCAGGCAGATCTTTTCCCCTTGTAGAAGTTAATGGGCAGCTGAGGGCTCAGTGGAATGAGAAAGCCAGCAAGCTGCAGAACATTCCAGCTTCCTGCTTTTCTCAGTTCTGTAATGTTGGAATAGCTCCGTATGCGTGAGAAAATATTACCTATTTATCTGGCTCAGTAAGCAAATAGGATTTTCATGGCCCTGTGCAAATATATGCACACACTGATAGCACAGCAGAGGAGGCAGTCACACACACTGATAGTACAGCAGAGGAGACAGTCACACACACTCACACACTGTCCTGCCTGTATTCACCTTTGTGTCCCATTTTCTTTTTGCTAGCTTTTATAAAACCCAGACCTTGTGTGTTAGGGACCTGACTTGGGTCATGTCGGAACCCCCGAACCGGGAGAATCACTCCTTTTGTTTTCAAGGGTATATTTACAGGGTAAAATTGTCAGGGGGTTTTGCCTGGGCAGAAATACTGTCCCAGGTTCAGGATCTGTGTACCAAGTATCCAAACAGCAACAGGGCAAGAATGAAAACAGGCTGAAAATCCATCGCGGTACTGCCCTGGAGAAGGCTGTGCGCTTTTGGGAATGGCCATTACAGAAATACTTGAGCAGATTTCCAGTTGGACACTGTCCTAGGAGCCTCGCAGAGGACGCCCGTACCGACAGGAGAGGATGCACCGCAGCGCTGCCCCGGTGTGTGTCCGCCCGGTTGTCACTAGAGGCCAGCACACGCCTTCGGAAGGAGTTCCGCGTTCCCATCTGCGGGGTGCCTGCTGCCGCGGGAGGCTCCGTGCCGGGGCCTGAGCGCGGTTAATGAAATTCACAGGTTACATAACAGGATTTCACATGTTACCCACTTTTCTGCGCCTGTATCCAGAAGAAAAATATTTTGCATAACTCTTGCGGCCAAATGTTTGAAGTAATATTTCTCTTCCCAGCCACGAGCTGTAATTACGGGAGTTTAGCCTTGTGTATGGCAGTGAGCTTGTAAGCAGTGGCAGCAAGTCCTATACAGCTGTCTAAATCTTGAAAGCTGAATTTCTAAGGATGGGTATGTGCATTATCCCTTTGAATTATGCCCCTTCCTTTATGACTAATGCTTGAGTATCTTAATTTTTAGTGAGCAGTAAACTCTAGACATGAAAGAAAAGGTTTCTTTGGGTTTGTTTCTACTTCTTTTTTTTCCTGCATAGCAGCAATGTTATTTCCAGTGGAACGTGTAAACTCACAGAATGTCTTGGTAGCTGAATTGCTTCCAGTGTGTTTGTTTTATGCATTTCATGCTTTAATGTCTTGTGTGTGTGCTGCAGGGCTGAGCCGGCACGGGGACTTTGTCTCTAAGAGCAGCAGACTATGAGTGTCTGCTCCAGAGAAGCACTGTGGAGTTGGCAGCTACTGCAGCTGGT